GTTGGCGTTGGAAAATGTTGAATGGCCTCGACTCCTTTATCATTGGCTTTTACTCCGTCTTTTGTTATTAGGAAGCCTAAGTATTTGACACTTTGTTGCAAGAACTCGCATTTGTCTATTCGAAGCTCAAGTTTGTTTTCAACTAACCGTTTAAAAACTTCTTTGAGGGTATCTAAATGTTCGGTAATATTTTTGTTTGCTATCAAAATATCGTCCATGTATACGACGACCTTGTTTTCTCTAATCATGTCGGAGAAAATTTTGTTAACAAATCGTTGAAATACAGAAGGCGCATTTTTAAGGCCAAATGGCATTCTTAACCATTCGAACTGGCCTAATGGTGTGACAAAGGAAGTGTATTTAACTGTTTCTTCGTTGACAAACACATGGAAGAACCCATTTTTGAGGTCAAGTTTTGTGAACACCGTTTTATCTACCAATTTGTCTAAAAGGTCATCTATCAATGGTAAGGGATAATTATCTTTCAGTGTAATTTTGTTTAGTTTTCTAAAATCTACACACATTCGCAAGTCACCTGTTTTCTTTTTTACTAATACAATGGGTGAAGCATATTCGGAATCACTTAGTCTAATAAATCCTTTTTCTAAGTATTCATCTAGTAACTGTTGTAATTTATCTTTTTCCATATATGATAAGCGTCTTGGTGAGCAACTAAACGGTTTCGAATTGTTAAGACTTATTTTTAATTCACACTTTACTAACGGAGCGAACGGGCGTTTCGCATTAAGATAAACGTTTTCAAGCATTTTAACGAATTGCAGCCGAAAGGCGTGGCTTATGTTTTTACCTATGTTGTACTCTACTTCTTCATTGCATAAGTGGTTGATTTCTAACATTTTTCTCTCGAAATTGTCTAACAATGGTTTAACTGACTCTAAATTTGACGCAACAATTTTATCTTTTGGAGTAAGCTTACTAACAATTTCTGTTGACGATTGGTTATCTAACGATCTATTTCTAACAATTGTACTAACGATCTCGTTGTTTAGGCTATCGCTTTTAATTTCAGTTTTATCTAACAATTGATCTTTTGTTTCTATACTTTGTGTAAAAGTTTTAATTTTATCAATGGGCTTACAAATATTTTCAATTTCTTGCTTATTATGAACATTTTTGTTGTTTGAAGCCTCAACATTAGATTCTAAGGTGTTGGATTTCGATTTTTGCTGTCTTAATATAGGTTTATTGAAATTTTCCTTTAAAGCAACCATATTCAAAGCATCTGGGCTTAAACGTAAATCGCATGCGCTTAAAAAGTCTCTGCCAAGGACAACATTATACCCCATAGACTCAGAAGCCACCACAATTAAATGAAAATAAATTTTAATTGTTCCTTTTAATACATAACATTGTGTTTTTCCAAATGTTTTAATGTGGCTTGTATTCATGCCAAAATATAAATCGTTAACTGAATCCAATATAATTTTTTCGTCGATAAGTGAAATCTTAATTAATGAGACAGGGCTTCCTGAGTCTATTAGGCATTCTGAAATCAATGGCATAACATTATCAGGGTTATTGAAGAAAATTTTAAAATATCTTACATAATTGTTTTTGACGACGCTCTTCCTCTCAGGGCACTGTGCAACAAGGTGACCAAGTTTGCCACAAGCATAGCATGAGCCTCGTTCGCGTTTGGCTTTCTTGCAGACATTGGCGAAGTGGCCTCTGCAGTTGCAGTTGGCACAGCGAACATTGTCTTCGTACTTGTTCTCTGGGCCATCACTCATTTTTGGTCGAACTGGTAGACGCACATTGGCAAAGGCCCGTAGCATGTGCGTTGGGTCGGAAAAGCATTGGATGCGCGCCTGTACACGCAGGCTTTCCAGCGGAATTCCTTCGATCATCTGATCCAGCAGCTCGTCATCATCAACATTTATTTCTCGTGAAAGAGTCATCTTGTCATCAAAATAGGAGGAAAAATTTTCTTCGGCTTTCCATTTGCGAGTCTCGAACTTTCGTCTGATGTCCACCTTTGATATTTTTCCTCCGAATGCCAGAGTCAATTGGGCAAACAAATCGTCGAGAGACTCTGACATCCGAGCCGGGCTTGCATGTAGCCAGACTTGAGCAGCGCCTTTTAACTTAGATATGGCCAACATGCGTAAATAGTTGTCGTTAATATTGTAGGCGCGTGCAATATTTTTTATTTGTGTGATCCAAGCACGCACGCATGACTTGCCGTCGAAGTCCACCACTATCTCTTTTGCGAACGTAAAACTGTGCAACGGAGTAAATTTGTTCTCTTCGCTCTCAATTTGTTTTGGTTTTAAGAGAGCATAAGAGTTTTCGGCAGCAACAGCATTGCCATCATCGTCAAATGATTTTGCTCGCAGCTCTAACTCAAGTAAACGAAACTTTGCCTGTGTTGCTTCTAATTCGGCACGTAACTGTAACAATTCTCTTTTTTCGTCTTCTTGCATTACTTCTGACGATTCGCTTCTGTTGCTGGCATCGTGATCGGCGCCTTCGCTGTTGTTGAGGGCTCGCTGTTGTTCGCTTTGCGTCGGAATGTTGGTCCCGTTATGATTTTCGTGGGAATTGTTGTTGCTCTGCACACAATGTTGCGAACTATTGGCGTCGGGACGCAATTCATCGTTGGCACTTTCACATTGTTTTTCATAAAGTTCGGAATTTCTGGGTGAAAAATTTTCATCCATATTTTGGGCTTGGGGCTCCTTAGGGTATGCGCCACGATTTTCAATATTGTTGAGTCGGGCGACCAGCTCTGCTTTTGAGCCCATTGTTGATTTACCCAAGGCGTTAAGCCAATTTTTTAAGATTTGTGTTGAAAATGTGTTTACATCAATTGTATCGTTCATAGCGCGTTACTATCCCACTTCTGAGATTTTAGTAGTAAAGTCAGGTCAATAATATATATGTTTGTAAGTATTTATTTACACAAAGCACTACACACAACTGTCTTGTACAAAGAACGATCAAAAAGTGATGTTCTCTTTATTAATTATGTCTTGTGTACCTCTGAGAGCGGGAATGCTCTCAGTGTGTACACTAATGCTTATTATACTAAGTACAAAAGTGTATACATCCTTACTTTCTACGGTGATTAGAGTAACGGCCTGCTACAATAGTAACATATATGGAACCTTTTTTATTAATACTATATACAGACATAATTTATATATATTTATTTACCTCGCTGCACATCCACATGCATGCTTTTTTATCAATAAACAAATACTCGTGTATGCACAAATTGCGCATTTCCGCTAGCTTCAATTCATATTGGCCATGAATCACCTCAAATATGAGCAGATATATTCGTGCGAGTATTTTTTATACATGTTTATACTACATACATATTCGTATGCAACCTTACTGCCAATTGGGGACCTTAGGCCCCGCCATTGTCTCTGCTCTCCACATGCTCCGCCAGTTCAATGAACGCCACGACTCCACACTTGCGTTTTGTTGTTGTTGTTGTTGTTGTTGTCACTCATTTTGGCTTTTTATACCAAAAGTTTTACCTAATTAAGTCAGCAAAGTGGGAAAGATTCCAAACGAGGCGCGTGTACAGACCACCTAAAGCCGAATTATGAAAAATCAGTGCGGTGTCGTCGCGTCTAAATAATAATAGCAAGCACAGAAGCCACAACAACAAATTTAATGCAATTATTAGTCCAACCATAACAAAATTAAACATAATTTCATATGCGCTTCATGAAATTACCGAGCAACAATGGCTGTGGCTTAGACAGACCCCTACCCCATATCCCCATATCCAGACCCACGAACAACCCACAACAAATAAAACGTTTGACAGACCGTCGGGAGCTGTCTGCGGACCGTCTGGCATGATGAGTTATTACAATTTCTGATTAACACGAAATGGCGCAACATTTCGGCTTAATAAGAATAAATTTCTCGCTTTTCGACTGCGTTTTCTCTCATTTATTTGCATAAAACGACCCTCCAATTGGGTCGGCACATGTCGCGTGAGACAAAGACTTGACGATTGTCGCGCTGCACAGTCTGGAAGTCTGTGAGGGACAAGGTCTCGTTTAGGATTTCTTGGAGTATATAACTGCAGAGAGGCAGCGAATTAAATTAAAACTAATATGGCTAGGAATTCATTAATGCAGTAGACAAGACAATTTGAACACGATTTGAGATGAATCCGAAATGAAAATTACATCCTAAACCCATAAAGAAACTAAAATTAGGGCTGATCGAATCCAGAGCATCGTTATATTTTATATATAAGACAGACGGATGTATAGCCGGTCAAAGAGATGGGTATGTCTATCAACTCCTCATAATGAAAGGAACGGTAAATACTTTAAAGGACACAGAGACTGATTCGTGTCGGATCATATTCATCTAAGATGGCTTTGCTTTACACTTATCCTTAGCTTAACACGGCCTTTTTTTAATACGAACTCGGTCTAACGCGATTAAATATTTTCTCTTTCAACACGATGAAAACCTCGATCTTAGACGAAAGAAGTTGGAGAATAATAAAAAACACGATTTAACACGATTTCGCTTAACACCAGGGTTTCTTGTTACGCAACTCCATGTTTAGCGAGGGTTAGGTGTATTCGTAATCAGCATGACTTGAGAAATCGATTCAGCCATGTTCGTATTTTCGTCTGTCTGGAGGATCGCCTGAATTTTAAAGACAGCTGAGCCCACATTCAATAAGAAAATGCGAGTTTAGTTTAGTTTTTGAATTGTTCACAGACTTTGTCAATACTGGCCGAAAAACAAAGAACACGTAATTAATACATAAGTCTCTACTTTTGTTTCAAATTTCATCCAAATCGGTCAATTCTAAGAAAAGTCATTAGCTATACCATTTCGCTCCAGTATAACTCAACGGCGGGACTTTGATTGGCAGTAGGGACTTTGATTGGTAGGGTATTTCACTGCCGGGCTTCTCTATTTTTTTTTCGTAAACTAGTAAGCTTTGCACAAGTGGCATCGTTAGTCTGTTTATAAATTTGAACATATTTTTAAATTGCAACGTTAACAAAATTCTCTGTACAAAACTCTTTAAGCCAGTTGAAGGCTATGCCAAGTCAAGATGTTGGACACCATAAGTTTAGTAATTACTCTGTGCCTATCCCTAATCTCTTGGCTAGTGCTTCAATACTGTGGGCTGTTTGCAACATCTGGTAAGTGTACACTCAAAAAACTACACAGATTATGATTACAAATGATTATTTGTACATTCAATTCAAAATGTATGTCGCATTTGAATTGAGTATATAGTAAATAGCGTAAATTTAATTAAAAACATTTATTTACTGATTTTATATTTAAATAATATTCAAAACAAAGTGTAAATCTTTGACATCAAAGTGTCTGATACTTAATATTATGTTTTTATATATTTATTTATTAGGGTTACTTTTAGAGTTACTTATGTATGTGTAACATTCTATCAACTCAATCGGTAAAGTTTTACAAATATTAGTTAAGATTTGATCGATAATATATTAAAAAAAGAACAAAGAAATTAAAAAAAAAAAACAGTTCTTACCATGTCGTGGGGCTTTATTTTGTTGAGCTTCCCCTATGATCAGTTTATTTTTATGTGAGCTTAAAATTGTATAACACAATCTATAGAGGTCCATAAGAGCCTGATAACTGTCGCAGACATAAATTTTAGGGCTCATTCCGTTGGGTGTAATTTTGAAGGAACACAGTTAGCCTGGCATTAGATAGAGAAAAATCCGTCTGTACCCCCTAAGTAAATATAAATTCTAAAACTATTTACGCCGACACACGCACACATATAAGTATATCAACACAATTTCGAGGAAACTCAACAGCTAAACCAAGCCCCCTAAAACCAATTTGAAATTTGCTATCATGTGGTCCAACGAAACCTTAGATATGGAGAACAACTTGAGCGATTCTCTGGACGAGAGCTGCCGCAGCAGCTTTTTGGATGTGTACCAGAATTTTTTCTGGATTTTCGCTTGTATCTACGTGCTCTCCAAAATAACAGATCTGTCCGAGCGCTATCTGTGTGCGCATATTAAGTCGCGGGAGCGCATCTGTGATATGCGAGCCATTAACGATGAGTGGGAGCGCACGCTTAAGATGTACGAGTCGGACAAGGAGAAGCTGGCTGCTCAAATTTCGAATCTGCGCGAGAGAAACTGCACATTGGAGGCGATGCTAACAGATTTGCGTGAATGCAACATTCAGCTGATCAGTGAGAACTACATGCGGACGGTGGTGCAGGAACACCAAATTCAGGGACTCACTCAAATGGTGCAGGAACACGTGGATTGCCCGTCGAACATTTATATTACCAACCGTCATATACATCTGACGCGTCAGGTGTTTGTCAACGAGGAGCTTACTGAGCCCAAAATGCGCGAATCTGGCGGAGAGGAGCTTCAGGAAAGCATTGGACCTCTAAATGTGTGGGTGCAATATCTGAAAATGCGCAAATGCTATATGGGACCTATTGCCGATCCCAACTTGTTACTAAACGGCAATCAAGACTCCAAGATACCAATTGTTATGACCACCGAGCAGCTGGCGAAATTGCAGGGTGAGTATTGAATGGTCATTTATTGAAATAAACTTGATTGACTCTCTGCATTATCTCGTCCCACAGGATTGATGTGATATTCGCACTTTGTATTACGTTTAAAAATATTCCTTAAGCAGCATTCATTCACGAAAAAAGGTTAAAGAAAAAGTTTAAAAAAATTTTAAGTAAAAGCAATGAAATATGTATGTATACATATTATTTTACAATTCAATAAATATCTAAATAGCACATATTTGTTAACAGTAGTTTTCAATACCCTCAAATATTCATTGTAACAGGTTGGTAATTTTCACTATGTCTGATCAAAGTCAGTCCAAATCTATACAAAACATGTGGAAAAGCAAAGGCGGATGTGCCGACTTTGAAATACTCTGTACATATGTGTAGAATAATTATAGAAATTGAAAACTTAACAATATCAAACAATAAGTACAAATATGTTTGATCGAGTTTACCGCCCTTGTTATTCAAACTCCGTTCACATTAACATGGAAATTGTGTCTATGTGACTCTATGCGTGTCTGAACATGTATGCAGTACAGAGTTGCGCCAAAACAGCGCCAATAACAGCAGCTGCGGGCAGAGCTTAGGCAGAGATTGCATATATGGCTAGAACTCCTTTAAAATCAGCGTACAGGATTATAATTATTAACTGGAGATATTGGCCAAGTTCAGTGAAAATTGTCAAAAATTAAGAGAGTTATGGAAAATCACTAATTAGGGGGGAGGGGGAAGGGAGGAATATTGCGTATTCATATAAGGTTTGTATCTTGGAATAAAAATGTTGTCCCTGGGTCTTATATAGAGATAATGGTGATTACACGAACGGCGTTAAGGAAACCCTTATTAGCAGGAAAGTGGGGGGTGTTAAAAAAAAACAAAACAAATTCGTATAGCGTACAAACATGAAGCATTATTGATGTCTCTATCTCTTATAGTCTCTTAGATCTATGTACACTTCGTGGGGTCTTCCAAGCCTCTTCTGCCTTCTGTTACATTTACCACTTCCCGGAAACCTAATATACTCTTGTACATTTGATGTTAGAGTATAAATATAACTTATAGTAAATAGCAGTACCAAGTCAGGTAATTCAAGCCCTGAAACTTCCTAAGCTTCCTTGAGTATCTACACTGCTATATCCACTCGATTCAACATACTGATCAAAAATCCTTGGGTCTGTTTTGTCGCACTTGCCCCTCGTTTTGTCCGTTTTTCGGTACAGTGTACAAAAATAGTATCATTGTTATCATATTTATTACGAGTAGATATCGTGCATATAGAATACTCTATGCTGCAGTTTGTGATTAAGATTAAATTTACAATCAGTAGCGAATCAAATCAAATCAAACGAATCAGCGAATGCAAAGTTTAAGTTTTAGGTTCTCTCCCGCATTCTCGACAGTATTGACAATTTCTGTACTGGGGGAAGAAAAAAATTTGTAAATACCTTTGAACTGCGGACACATAAAATTGTGGTGTATTCAGTTCTTAAAGTCTATATATGTTCAAGAGACTGCTAATGCTAATGCTGAACAAGAATATACATATGTATGTACATATACTTTATCGGAAGTGTTTTATTCTGTCTGTTACATTTTTTATTTTGCGCAAACCTAACATAGCCTTTGTACCTTTTAGGTAGAGGGTATACACCTACATAATTCTGTTTTTACACGGTATTTTTTACACGGCTTTGACTTAACACGGTTTGAAAATTCAAAAAGTTATATGTATATCGTTGCTCATTATTCCATTTAGCACGATTTAAAATAACATGTGATCAATGTCTCTTTTTGCACGAGTTTTTCTGGAACCAATCTACCGTGTAAAAACAGAATTAGGTGTAATAATGTTTTTTCAAAAATGCTGTCATCATTCGTTGATCAGGAAACATGTGACTCCAAGTTGTGGGCCTATCAAGCTTCTCCCATGCCATTTTGTTGTCGCGGTTGTTGTTGTTGTTGTTGTAGCTTCAGCCGCCGCAGCGGCACAGAAAAGGTCAGTGGCAGTTATCGTTGCAATTTTGTAATCAGTCGGCGGCTCAAGGTTAAATGCGCGTCTATATAGGCAATATGCCAGACGACGGTCCTCTGCTTTCCTCCTCCCTGCTTTCTCCCATCGCGCGCTTATTTACATACACACATACATACATACAGTACAAGTACATACATATATACTCGTATTGACAGACGCCATGTTTGGTTTGTGCTTTGGAATTGGCGACAGTGTTTGTATTTGTCTGTGTGTGTGTGTGTGTGTTTTGATTGCATTGTTATGATGGTGGGGAGTTGGAAGACGCTGGCTGCGCTTTTTACGGTTTCTCTTATTTTTGGGTCATTTGCCCGGCCGCACAAGTACTTGTACGTGTGGCAATTGGGTTTTGTGCATTTTATTGTCAATTTGTTAACTTAGATTTATGGTTTTTGCAATACAAACAATTCCACAATATGTCCACAAGCAGATATTTAGGTAAGACCCGAAGAACTGTATAGAATACTCATGTCTACTCCTAATAAAATAATATTGGATGATATAAATGATTTTAATTAAGAGCACAAGACCCTTTCGCAGACATTTTTGAAATACCTAATGTTTGTTGGCAATTATTTATGTAAATTCTAGATCTAAGGCTTTATTTTATCAGAAAACAACATGTAGAAAAGCTAAAGGCGGATGCCTAGACTTTGAAATACCCTGTCCCTACATATGTATAGGCATTTCATGAAACCCAGAAAATACTTACATACATAGAAGCGATAGAAAGCATCAGTTTATGATGTCAGCACCCTATATGTACTAATATTGCAGCTAATTTTATGATTTTTTTGTCTGCACAAATCGAGAGGTATTAAAACGCCACTTCAGAGTTTTTATATTTATTGATTCAAACAAATTTTTCATCATTTTTGATGGGCTTTATTATTAGTCCCCGTTTGAATCCCACTCCAATGGTTTATATATCGTCATCATCATTGCTTAAGTTATAAACAATTATGTGAATTTAGATGCTGCAGTTCGTAAATATTAGTTAGAAATTAATGGAAAATTCCGCCCTGTTGCTGGGTCAAGATGAATAAAGAAGGAAGGATGATTTGATGTCGGCAAGATCTAATGGATGGTTACTAGCAATGCAAAGTTCTTTTAAAGCTTCTATGTTTGATCATATTATACCGCTGTTAATGTGAAATACTAGAAAAATAATTATTTAAGCAATAAGAACATTCTCCTTAGACTCTGTGATCTAAGCTCTTGTTAGTGTGAATTTCTTCTTAAAGCATGCTGATCCTCTACTGCTTCAAATAAATTATATTAATGTTATTTACTGGACAGATTTTGAATATAAGCAATACATTCTTGCCTTTTGTTCTCTATGCTGTTTCTAATAAGCTCTACTAATACTATTTAGTGGGCAGATTTTGAATATAAACAATGCATTTTGTGGAGCACACGTTCAACCTGCCTTTTTCCGAACTTATCTCCATGCGTAAATTTTTATAAACTGCCTATTTGTGTTTGGGTCAAGGCTGCAGGTGCCACCCACACTTCACCGATAGTCGAGAGCCCGCATCTTCCACTTCATTCGCTCTACTTAGCATTTCAATTTATTTGAGCGTGTCTCCCCGTAACCAAACGCCCATTCGCACATTCGCCCGCACCGTCATAACTGCTTACACAACAGTGGCCAGGTTCTTGCTGACGCAGTGCACTGTGCAACTGTATGCAAAACTGTATTATTTATAAACTTGCCTAGGCACAGTGAGCCACCACCCACGAGCCCGTCCGCAACTTACAGTTTCATCACGAATATTACTCTTTGCTGGCGCATGACATTTGCATAGATAATTTGTTTACCACTCGACGGATGGCATTTAAAAATCGTTTTGAATATTTCGCACAATTGTTATGTCATTAACCTACATAGAACAAAATAATCTAATCGTTAATTGGCACACTAACCCCAAACAAATATGCAGCAGCTGCGGTTCGGTCCGACCGCATTTCCCGCTGCCCCATGTCGGGCGAGCGCTATAATTTGACTGATAAAAATAGTTTATCAAGGTTGTTTTGGCAAAAATGAAAGCAAAAGTCGCTTCTCGCAAAAAGTAAAAAATGAAAGTATATACGTACATACATACATACATATGTATGTATTCATGTGGGAGCGCGAGAAAGCAGGCGTGATAAGCACATTTGTGTGTATTCGTATGAGGCGCAAACCTCATAGTACGAGTACAACTGGCATAAATATTTGTACGTGTACGGCATCGTCACAAAGGCGACCTTGAGATAATGTACTCACTAATACACACACACACACACAGACATATATATACACAAACACTTAATTCTAAATAATCGACTGCGTTGATACAAATGTATTTAGATACAATGGAAACAGTTTTCTTCTTGTCTTATGTTTCTTGATAACAACAATCTAAATGGAATATCAGAGTATTGAAATATTCTTGCATGACAAAGATGGACTTATACAGAATAATGATAGAAGGTTTAGTTGTTCGATATGCTTGCTTCTTATACAATAAAAAATGATAAACTTTCCAGCATTATATAGTAATTTGGAAAATCTTCATTTATAAAGTGTAAGACTATAATGATTTTGGTGTGTAAGATGGGAACCCGCGGAAGAAGGAATGGCGCGACGAGTCTAAATCGTGGTGTCAGTCTGTTTGTCTGTCGTGATAAAGCTTCTTTTTGCGGACACAGATAAGTATTATGCCGAGGCTAACTATATCCTAGCACCACTTCTAGACCAAGAGCAATTCATGACTTGTCTTTCTAAATCACCGAGCCTATATACTTTTGATATCTGTACTTATATTATAAAGAGAAAAGATTTCATTGTTTGTTAGTCTGTTTGCTTATTTGAATTGAATAGGCTCCGAAACTACTGTGCCGATTTAAAGGATTCTTTCAATTTTGGGAAGCTACACTACCCGGCTAAAATCGGTCGAAGTTAAAAATCAGAATTCCAATCATGCTTTTAGAAATTAAAGCCTTCCGAGCATGTGAAATAGGACGAGGAAATGCAGGACAAACCTTCTCATGGCCAACTGAGAAGGTCTGACTCAATAAGAAATACAAAAAAATCGGAAGTACAAAAAAATCATTAAAAGATTAATAATATCCAAACTACGTTTAAAATTTGACTTTTTTTTAGTAACTCATAGCAAATAGAAGGGTGTATGCGTGCGAATTAGTGTGTTTTAAAA